GCGTGGAAGCTGGAGACTACTGGAAATAGGAGGGGCAACTGGGTTGAAGGGCAAGGCAAGGAGCTGTAGCAGGATGGCAGTGCGAAGGCTGCAAACCTGGGTGCTGCCAACGCGATGTCCTCAGGCTCTGACTTTTTCTCTGGTCTAAGATTCCAGCTAAATGCGAGCGAGAAAGAATTGTCGTTATTAACTCCCGCTCGTTGATTAAACCGGCTGAGGGAAAAGAGAGCAAGCACCTGTGGGTAGAAGAGGCTCACGGGCTGTAAAACCGTTGGAACAGAGAAATCGCTGATGCTTTGGTAGCAGAGAGGGGCCAGCAGGAAAACTGCAATAGGCTGTAAGCCCCATGTGTGCGTGGAAGTCCGTTGTTGTAGTAGGTCGGCGATGCGACCCTGGGCTCCAGCCGGCCTTCACGTTCCGTCTCTCGTGCCTCAGGGTCAGCAAGGGACCCCAGCCGGGATGAAAACACAGCAACTGACGGTCACACGCTGGGAGGTGTATGGCCTTGTAACAAGTGCTTATTTCCAGTAAAGCAGTCCTCGGATTTGGCCAGCGGGATCCGTCCCTCTGGGAAGGAGGTGTCTTGCTCGGTGGCTTGGCACAAGGAAAGTGTCCCAGGATGGCCAGAACCCCGGGGATGCCCTGGTAAGGAAGGTTCCCGGTGCCGTGGACTGGCACCAGAGCTGCGTAAGGCTGAGCCCAGAATTTCCAGATCCCTGAGCAAGAGCTAATGAGGTCTGTCCCTCTGTCAGCGGCGTGCCACACTGGTGCAGGCATACGCGCAGGTGTCGCTGCGGCTTGGCACGCGAACGGCAGGTTGTGCGGCGTGTTAGGGGTCCGCAGGTCTGTGAGTGCTCTTTCAAGGGTCGTAGGCTAAATTTTTGGTGGAAGGCAAAGATTTATACAATCCATCTGTCCTCCCTGAGAGTTGATGGTTTGCTTTCAAGTGTAATATTTAGTGGATGGGGGTGTGTTTTTGACACAAGTGATCCCATCTGCTGGTGTGCTGACAGCACGTGCTGAAATTATTTTAAAAGTTGTCCCTCTTAGGGTGCATCCCAGCAGGAGGGAATAGGGAGAGCTACTGCGCTGCAATCCTGGCTGCAGCTTGCTTTGAAAAGCTGGGGGTGTGGAGTTCAGAGAATCGATGCAAGTGCTTTCAGCCTGAAAGGCACTGTTCGGGGGTGGCCTGCGTTCAGCTTTGTGCTGTACATGAAGCATACTCGCTGCAAGGTACGCTAGGCCGCAGAAATGGGGGGAAATACGGTTTCTCTCCTTAATAGTAATTCTGAGTCAAGCGCAGGGTAAGGGAAGAAGCAGCTCTCAGTATAGGTAGCTGAGAGGGAAGACAACTCCGAGCGCAGGACTGGGCTCTTGGAGGCGTTTTTATTACGCACTCGGCCTGTGGCGAAACGTCCCTTCCTTAGGCAGACAACTCCAGGGAGAGCTCCGAGTGAGTCTGCATGATGGCGACACAGATTGGAGCGAGAGCGAATAAACAGTGCTTCTTAAAGCTCCATGGGCCTCCAAAAGGCAGGATACGTATTATCTCTGGGTACTTGATTTCGGGATTCATTTTATCCGTTGGTTTTGAAAAGGAAGGAATGCTTTTCCCTTACGGGCAGCTGGTTTCATGGAAACACATGATGGTGGGCATGGCAAGAGTTTGCAAAAAGCCGAGGGAGCCAGAGTGAAGTACAGATGAGTGTAGTGCTGTCCTTGATCAGGAAAGGTAAGCGGCTGTATCTGTGTACCTAAAAAATGGGAGATAGTTACGGGCTGGAGAGAAGAGCTGTTGCTAGCACCCGTGCTGTGCTGCATCTCCGCAGCAGATGGGATTGCTGCTTCTCCCAGGCCGAACAAGAAACTTAAGCAGACCAAAATCTGCCTGCAGCAGGCTTGCCTGCTCTATTTATAGTCCTTCTTGCTGAAGACTGGCACCTTGCCTCTGCAGCCCAGGGGCCGAAGAACTAAAGTGTGTTCTAAATAAAGTCATAATGCATCAGAGATGAAACGCACAGGGCCAAATCTTCTCTGACACAGCGTGGAGGAGTGCACTGGAAAACCCCTGCCCTGCCCAGGGCCAGGGAATGGAACGTGCTACCCAGTACGATGGCTCGTCCGATTGACCACATTTAACAAGCGTATCTGCTTGGCAGCTATCACTTGTTTCCTGTGCAAGACCATTCCTGTATGCTCATGGAAGAGAAAAATCTATTTATGGGCATGATTGCAGCCAGAATATAGGTATGTGTTACACAGCTCTGCGTTGGTTTTTTTTTTTTTTAATTGGTTGGTTTTTTTATCAGGTGTTGCCCAAATCCCCAGCTATTAAAAAAAACCCAACCAAACATGATTTGTCTTTCACATCAATATAGTTACTTCGACTTTCAAGATTTGTACGGGTCCTTGGAGATTACAGCCCTCAGAGGTTTCTGTACAGGTAGTCTATACTTGGCCTATAGAACGTAATTTTCATTACCAAAAAACCACCCTATTTACAGCTTAGACATGACTTGGATTGAATTTTAAGCAAAGGAAGGCAGGTTATAACTGTGTATGGGAAGCTACAATACTTCACCTATTGTCTCATTTTTCTGAAGCTCAGCTGTGATGCAGAAGGTTTTCAAAATCAGAATCAGCAACAAAAGAGCCATGACAGAAGAAAGGACTGAGGAAATGCCGGCATTTGAGAGTTTACCCGAGGCAGAGGGAAGGGCTCCTGTGCGAACTGTATCAGTTCATGATTACCTACTACTTGTGCCGTCCAGGATAGCAACTGGAACTCTGCAAGGCAGAGCTGAAGCAGGGAATAAATGGCAAACCTGTGAGGTGCACAGCATAGGCTAACATACGGAAGTGCACGTGCCATTGCCTCTTCACAACCACTGATGCAGTTAGGGACGTCGTGGAACCGGTGCGCAGAAGACGGGACATTGCACGGAGAAAAGACAAAGTTGCATCTGTCCTCTGGTGATCTCTTCAGAGGCAGCAGACACACCTTGCCAGTGCAGTTCAGTTCATCTTCCCTAAATTACTGCTGTCAAATACACTCGATAGCAAATAGGGATTGTTTGGCTAAGCTGACTGATTTATAAATAGGAAGCTACTAGTTTGTAGCCTGCATATTCCTCGCTGGACTAAAGTCATCTAACTGTGAAGTTGGTATCGACAAGCTGCCAGAAAATATGTTGATTTATCACTTTTTTTTAAATTATTAACCCTGCATTTTCTTGCTCCTGATGCTGTTACTGCTGTATTTTATGTAGCAGGCACTCTGACCAGAACAACTGCCCGCTCCCCAAGGGATGTCCAGATCAGAGTCTGTATGTCTCGAGTGTATTCAAAGCCTTTCTGCGTGCAGGATCTTCTGTAGCGGCAAGCACGAGTCCCGCTGCCTCAGGCAGGAGCCGGGAGCTGAGCCCTGGCGCGTGCGGTGTAAAACCTAGCTGTGGGACAGCCTGTGGCAGGGCAGGCTCGGCCTGCGGAAAGGCCAGATGGCATTTCTGCGGAACTGGGACAGAGCTATTTGCTGACTTGGTGAAGTGGCGGGTTCTAGGCTTGGCTACGGAAGGTTTTCATTCCTTGCTGGCCT